TTCTTTAGTAATACTTCTGTAAGGTCAGTAATATCCCCTAAAAAGTGATTTTGTATATGGTTGTATTTAGTAATTTCACCTAGTTATAATGAGTGGCATTCTCTTAGCAAATTCAGAGTTTAAAGGAAACAAATCGGGCCGGGTGGTGGTAGGGCACACCTTTAATCCCAGCACTCAGGAGGCAGAAGGCAGAGGCAAGCTAATCTCTGTGAGTTCAAGGCCAGCCTGGTCTAAAGTGAGTTCCAGGACAGCCAGGACTTCAAAACAAAATAAACAAAAAAACAGGAAAGAAAAGAAATCTGGCTGTAAATGCTGGTCAGAGTGGTTCAGGAAGTCACTCACCTGTGAAGTGTGCTGTGGAGCCTGATGATTATGGAGAGAGAGAGAGAGAGAGAGAGAGAGAGAGAGAGGGGGGGGGTGTTTGGGGATCCTGAGAGATGCAGCAGGGGCTCTCTTAATGGGGAGAGGACAGCTGTAATGTTTATCAGTTGGGATTTCTCTTATGACTGAGGGGAGGGGACCCAGGGCCTCTCTGCATCATGGCAGAGGCTGGCATACACGGGGCATGCCCAACTCTGTATGTTAGGCCTCCAAGCACTCAAAAAGACTGCTTTCTGGAGTTTCTTGTCAGCCTGTTTCTAGTTCTTAGTTTCCTCACCTACCTCACTTGTTGATTTGACTCCTTTGCCTTTCTTCTATTCTCTTACTGCCTCCATCTTCCTTACCTGGCTGCCCTCCCCTTCATAGCTTTAAAAGTTGTCCTTATTGGCTGTGATTTCTCAGATTATTGCCTCCAGGCTGGAACCCTCGTACTTAACCAAAACTGCCTGCCTGAAGGCTTTATTTGCATAAGCATAGCCTCTGTGTGTTAGTAACCTTTCTGCTGCTGTGAGGAATGCTTTAATTTGGTTCTTGGTTTCTCTCCTTGCTCCATTGGCCCTGTTCTTTGGCCCCATGATGGGAACTTGTGTGAGAAGGCCTTTTACCTCCCGTTGACTAGGAAGCAGAGAGGTGGTGGTGGGGAGAGAGGGAAAGGAGCTGGGAGTCCCTATAGCCCCTTCAAGGTCACGCCTCCAGTGATGTAGCTCATTCCTTTAGACCCCACCCAGCTCTTAATGATTCCATCATTGCTCAAGGGTGCCACAGGCTAGCTACCAAGCCTTTGATGTGTGGGCCTTTGGGGGACATCTGTGGTAATCTGAACTGCTGACCCCATTTCCAGATCATCCTTTTATTCTCCCTTCCTGCTAGCAAAGCTACTGTCCTTGCTCAATGCAATGGTCCAGTCTTGAAATCTTTGATACTTTTAGGTTCCTTTCTGTCTCTTCCCTTCAGTTCACCAGAGAGTCTTACAACAGATGTAGTTTGAACACTTCTCCCCGCCTCCTGCATTAATCATAATGGGTCCATCTGCCTGCCTCTCACCTGTCTTATTGCAGCAGTCTGGGATTGGGGATGCCCTCCCCCCAACCAGCTTCAATCCATGCTGCCCACATTTCTCAACACAGATTCCAGAGGGATCCCTTCTCATAGTCAGTGACCACACATCCCCGCTCCAAATCCTCCTGCAGTTTCTCATCTTATTAGGCGTAAAATTTAGGGCCATAAAATGTGGTTGAGTAAATTTATATAAGATGGTAAGAATGGACAAATTAACCTCAGAATTCTGAATTGTGAGTTATATTCTCCTCCTGAGAAACTGTTGGCTTCTTATTTGACTCCTTCCAGAGAGCATCATAAGAAAAGCAGGAAAGGGAGTGACCCTGGCTCTGGAGAAAAGTGACAAGATCTCAGATGAGATGTCGATGAGGTCAATGTCAGCACTGGGATGTCATGTATGTCACTTGTATGATGTGTGGAAGATGACGCTGTTCTTCTTCAAGACACAGTCCCAATCTAATCATAAAACATGACAAATTCCAGTGAGTGACGATGCTGGCTCCTTAGTCACATAGTTATGTGAGATGCCAATGCAGAAACTCTACATAAATGTAAGATGATTTTACAATGAAACTGAATTTTTTTCTCTCCCAGCCTCTGCCCCTGCCTTTGTTCCCTGCCCCACTGTGTGCCAGCCCTACTGTGTTCCAGCCTCAGGGAACTGTTTGTTTGTTTTTCTCATTCCACTGTGTCCTAGAGAACACAGGCATTACTTCCCAGAAATGCTAAGCTTGAGAAATAATACACTTGGAAATGAGGGTCTCTTTTCCCCAGGCTGTGTGCAGTCTCTCTGGCTTTGGGCTTCAGCTGAAGCCTTTATCCCCCCTTCTCACCCCCCATCCCGTCATCCTGGCCTCTTTCTCTCTTCATAGCTTGTTTGTCTTACCTGAAAGTGCATCATCCATCAGATGTGGGAAGTTTGGTTCACTTTCAGCTCCCCAGCTCCAAGAGCTGTACCTGCCTCACAGTAGGTACCCATTAAATATTTCTTTAAGGACTTCAATAATTAAAAGAGCAAGCAGATGGTGAACATAATTAAACTAAAAATTGATACAGGCAGGACAAATGAATCTATCTCCCAGTGTGTTTATTCCTTCTCCCTCCAAATGTTACTGAAGTGAGTTTTGTCAGGAATTGGTGAGAATCTATCAAGAAGTTTGCTCAGTTTGAAGCATCTCCTTGTACATACGCACAGGTCCTCCCCCCTTGGCAACATGAATGGGATCAGCTTAGTTTTGCTAGGTCCATTTCTCTAGATATCTTTACATATCAATAAGTTGAACGTCACCTTATTTTTGATGGCTGTGTAGTATTTTATGTGTAAAACTAAGCAAACACACTGAAGCGGTTACAAGAGAATCTTGATGTGATTGTTGGCTGTGAACTGGATCATAGTAACATTGTCCCCAAAAAACCTAATGTGTTTGTTGTGAAGGACAGCACCTGTTCAGTATCATTTCTGTAGATAATCTTCTTTTTTCTTTTTCTGTAGATGGTCTCTAAAGCATTTTCCTAACACATACTTTTATATCCTAGTTCAAATGTGTTTGGCTTATGATCTTTGCCTTTCTTAAATCTTTACATACCGAAAATGGTGATATTTGATAGCATGACCTCAGTGCCCCCAGTTGAGCCCAACGGAACTTTTCTTTTTGTTTTTTGTGAAGATTACAGGATTTTTTAAAAGTAAAAATTCACATTTCCCCAAATATGAGAATTGGTGAGCAGATTGAGATTTTTGTAGAGGTAGTTTTGTTAGGAGTTTTTATTTTGTTAAATAATCCTCGTTCCCCTTAGAGGTCACAGATCTGTGTGATGTCCTGACATGTCTGCTGAGGAGGTGGATAGCTAGCTGTAGAGCATTGAGGGTGCCCAACTTGAACTTGACTCAGTATCAATTAAACTTCTAATTGCTTTAGGCATATCAGTTCCCTTCCTTTTCCCCCTCTAATAAAATGACTAATGGGGCAAGTTGGCAGTGGCTGAGTTAAGCTACTGTAAATTAATATTGCCGTACAAATTTTGCTGGGCTGTCAAGCCAGCCTTCCAGTCTGCTGTTTCTTTCACCTTTGCTAGCACTTACAATTTATGCACATTAATCCGACAGTTACTTTGCAAGGGTGCATTTCTGTACTGAGCTGTCAGTGCTGGGAGTTTGTGAAAATGCATTAGTTTTTTTTTTCCAAGATGAATTTGTTGGCATGATAAAGAACAGCTGGTCAGAAAAAAAAAAAAAAAGCCTTTTCTCAGATCCCAACCTGGTGGACCTGGCCTACCTTCCCACTTGTTAAAGGCCACCTTTTCTTTGTTCAGGCTTCCTCTTTGCCACCGCAGTCATCCTCGGCCCTTCCTGCAGTTCTGCCTCCTTGACACCTTGATTTCATGCTTTGATGATTTAGTTTTTTTGTATGTGTGCATATCTCGCCTTTTATTGGGGACACCTAGGTAACAGGTTGTTGAGGGTTTTGAAGATACCAGACCCTGAACAAGAGGTTATTGACAGCAGTGACAATAAAATGGCAATGTTCAGGGTGAGATTTGCTTCTCTGCCTTAGAAAGAACTGTTACTGATTCAGGTTTTCATGTCAGAAAATGATCTTTTACTGTATGCTCTTGGTGTTTAGAAAGTACTTGAGTACAAATTTGATGGCAGTGATTACTGTAATTCCTTCAAATAGTTTTATAGTGCTAAATTAGACAGTAAAGACATGCTATAGGGAGTGAACTTAATTATTTTTATGAAGAAATAATTTCAGGATAAGTTTTCAAGTGAGATTGCAAGCTGTCATTATACAAGAGCCTGTAAAAGCACCGTTTAGGACTTTTTCTCAGAAGCTTTGCTACTTTACAATGTGTGTTAGCACAAGTCTGTAAGCTACCCTGGCTTAGTGACACATGCCTGTCACTCTAGCAGTGGGAGATTGAGGCAAGAGAATCAGGAGTTCAAGTCCATCCTCAACTAAATAATGAGTTTGAGGCCAGCCTGGGTGATATGAAGCCCTGTCTCAAAGAATTTCTCCTTTCCTCCCATGAAAATGAGTTTATAAGATTTTTAAAAATGTAATTCCTGGTGTGTAAGAGAAGATACATATTATCCATTGCCTGTCTTTTCAAAAGCCAGTGTTTGTGTTTGCCCTGAAGACTTAACAATAAAGTTGGGGGCTGTGGAGAGATGGGTCAATGGTTATGAGCACTGCTCTTGCAGAGGACTTGAGTTCGAATCCCAGCACCCACATAGCTACTAACAAACATCTATAACTCCATTTCCAGGGAATCTGACCACCTTTTCTGGCCTCTTTAGGCACTGCATGCATGTGCACAGATAATACACTTGTTCACACACATAACACTTACACACATGAAGACCATAATAACAAGAAAAGGATTGCTATCAAGCATATTTCTAGACATGTTAGATTGTTGATGTTTGTATTGGAAAGCATTTAGTAATATTCTGTATAGGTGGGAAATGCTTCCTTAAATGTGTAAGGCTTACATTTGTGATTTATTCATGTTTTATATCCCCAAGTAACAAACACTTCTTACTTCTTCTTTTACAGGTGGCCAGGAGTTAAACAATGGGGAGACAATTGGCCTTGCTTCTGCTTCTGCTCCTCTTTCTCCAGCATTTTGGAGATAGTGATGGAAGCCAAAGACTTGAACCCACCCTATCTCTACAGTTTACACACTTCCAGTACAATGTCACTGTGCATGAAAACTCTGCAGCAAAAACCTATGTTGGCCACCCTAGAAAGATGGGCATCTACATCTTAGACTCCTCATGGGAAATAAGGTACAAAATCATCTCAGGAGACAGTGAAAACCTGTTCAAAGCAGAAGAGCATGTTCTTGGAGACTTTTGCTTTCTAAGAATAAGGACCAAAGGAGGAAATACAGCTATCCTTAATAGAGAAGTGAGAGACCATTACACACTGATAATCAAAGCAGTTGAAAGGAACAGCAATGCCGAGGCCCGAACAAAGGTCAGGGTGCAAGTGCTGGATACAAACGACTTGAGGCCATTGTTCTCACCCACCTCTTACAGTGTTTCTTTGCCTGAAAACACAGCCATAAGGACCAGTATTGCAAGAGTCAGTGCCACGGATGCGGATATCGGAACCAACGGTGAATTTTACTACAGTTTTAAAGACCGAACCGACATGTTTGCTATCCACCCAACCAGTGGCGTGGTTGTTTTGACAGGCAGGCTTGATTTCCTAGAGACCCAGCTCTATGAGCTGGAGATCCTGGCTGTGGACCGGGGAATGAAATTGTACGGTAGCAGTGGGATCAGCAGCATGGCCAAACTGACGGTTCATGTGGAACAGGCCAATGAGTGTGCGCCCATGATAACAGCAGTGACATTATCGCCCTCTGAGCTGGAGAAGGACCCCACATACGCTATTGTCACTGTGGAGGACTGTGATCAGGGTGCCAATGGGGAGATAGCGTCTTTAAGCATTGTGGCTGGTGACCTTCTTCAGCAGTTTAAAACAGTGAGGTCTTTCCCAGGGAGTAAGACATTCAAAGTCAAAGCCATTGGGGCCATCGACTGGGATAGCCATCCTTACGGCTACAATCTGACACTACAGGCTAAAGACAAAGGAACTCCTCCCCAGTTTTCCCCAGTGAAAGTCATTCATGTCATTTCTCCCCAGTTCAGAGCTGGGCCGGTAAAGTTTGAAACGGATGTTTACAGAGCTGAGATCAGTGAGTTTGCTCCTCCGCATACACCTGTGGTCCTAATCAAAGCCACCCCTAGCTATTCCCATCTGAGGTATGTTTTTAAAAGCACCCCTGCAAGAGCTAAATTCAGTTTAAATCACAACACAGGACTCATTTCCATTTTAGAACCAATTAAAAGACAGCATACCTCCCACTTTGAACTTGAAGTGACAACAAGTGACAGAAAAGCTTCCACCAAAGTCATGGTGAAAGTTGTAGGTACGAACAGCAATCCCCCTGAGTTTACACAGACTGCATACAAAGCCTCCTTTGATGAGAATGTGCCCATCGGTACTACTGTGATGAGGGTGAGCGCAGTAGACCCCGATGAGGGTGAGAATGGCTATGTAACTTACAGTATTGCAAACTTAAATCATGTGCCATTTGTCATTGACCATTTTACCGGTTCTGTGAGTACCTCTGAGAACCTGGACTATGAACTGATGCCTCGAGTTTACACGCTAAGGATTCGTGCTTCTGATTGGGGCTTGCCCTATCGCCGGGAAGTTGAAGTCCTTGCCACGATTACTCTCAATAATCTGAATGACAACACCCCCCTGTTTGAGAAGATAAACTGTGAAGGGACAATTCCCAGGGACCTAGGTGTAGGGGAGCAGATAACCACAGTTTCTGCTATTGATGCTGATGAGCTTCAGTTGGTGCGCTACCAGATTGAAGCTGGTAATGAGTTGGATTTGTTTGGCTTAAACCCTAGCTCTGGGGTACTGTCATTAAGGCACTCACTAATGGATGGCTTGGGTGCAAAGGTTTCTTTTCACAGTTTGAGAATTACTGCTACAGATGGAGAAAATTTTGCCACACCATTATACATCAACCTAACGGTGGCTGCCAGTCGCAAGCCAGTGAACTTGCAATGTGAAGAGACTGGTGTTGCCAAGATGCTGGCAGAGAAACTTCTGCAGGCAAATAAATTGCACAACCAGGGAGAGGTGGAGGATATTTTCTTCGATTCTCACTCGGTCAATGCCCATGCTCCACAGTTCAAGAGTGCCCTTCCAACTGGAATTGAGGTAAAGGAGAACCTCCCTGTGGGTGCCAATATAGCTTTCATGAATGCCACTGACCTTGACTCGGGCTTCAATGGAAAACTTGTCTATGCTATTTCTGGAGGAAATGATGACAGTTGCTTTACTATTGACATGGAATCAGGAATGCTAAAAGTCTTATCTCCACTTGACCGTGAAGTCACAGACAAATACACCCTGAACATTACCGTGTATGACCTCGGTATACCCCAGAGGGCTGCGTGGCGTCTTCTAGATGTTACAGTTCTGGACGCTAATGATAATCCCCCTGAGTTTTTACAGGAGAGCTACTTTGTTGAAGTGAGTGAAGACAAGGAGGTAAATAGTGAGATCATCCAGGTGGAAGCCACTGATAAAGATCTGGGCCCCAGTGGACATGTGACATACTCCATTCTCACAGACACAGATAGGTTTTCAATTGACAGCGCGACTGGTGTGGTGAGAATCATCCAACCTTTGGATCGTGAAGTGCAGCCTGTGCATTACTTAAAGATTGAGGCCAGGGATCAGGCCACAGAAGAACCTCGGTTGTTCTCCACTGTGCTTTTGAAAGTGTCACTAGATGATGTTAATGACAATCCACCCAAGTTCATTCCACCTAATTACTCTGTGAAGGTTCGAGAAGATTTGCCGGAAGGAACCATAATCATGTGGTTAGAAGCCTATGACCCTGATGTAGGTCAGTCCAGTCAGGTGAGGTACAGTCTCCTGGACCACGGAGAAGGCCACTTTGATGTGGATAAACTCAGTGGAGCAGTGAGAATTGTCCAGCAGCTGGACTTTGAGAAGAAGCAAGTATATAATCTCACCATAAGGGCCAAAGACAAAGGGAAGCCAGTGTCTCTGTCTTCCACTTGCTATGTGGAAGTTGAGGTCGTTGATATGAATGAGAACTTACACCCGCCAGTGTTCTCCAGCTTTGTGGAGAAGGGTGTTGTGAAAGAAGATGTCCCTACTGGCTCATCAGTAATGACCGTGTCAGCTCATGATGAGGACACTGGGAGAGATGGAGAGATCCGGTATTCCATTAGAGACGGTTCTGGTGTTGGTGTCTTCAGGATAGATGAAGTCACAGGCAAGTGCCATTATCACTTTCGTTGAATGTTCTTCCTATTTCTTTGCATCTTCACTTCATAATTTCCAGTTGGTTTCTGTTAGGACTCAGCATTGAAAAGTACATATACATGTTTTTGTCTTTTGTAGATATATGCAGTAGGCCACTAGGCTCTACCCAAAGGAACTGAAGGATGAAGTGTGTAGAAATGAAAATTGAAATCATTACCACTGATACTGATCTCTTCAAGTTTGTACTTTTATTGTCAAGATCATCATTGTGGTTTTGTAGTAATTTTGAAGCGCATTCTGGTTAAGGTATTGCACGGCGTTAGGTTTGCTTGCTAGTACAGTAATATCAGTACCATTTGGCATGCCATCTAGGAGGCATTGCACACCTGCAAAATTATGCAATGTACCCAGAGATTTTATGTGCAAAAACTTCTTTCCCCCCTCCAGTGTTTGAGAGGCCTTTGTAGGGCAATGAACTGAAAGACCTGGCTTGCGGCTGCCTCCTTCAATCATGATCTTGGACAAGTGAAGCACTTCTTAAAATTAACTTCTTTTTTATCTATAAGAGGAAGATGTTCAGGTCTTTTGTTTGTTTGTTTGTTTTTTTGTTAGCCTCTAGGATCTTCTGCATGCTAGGCAAGCACTCCATACAAAGCTTGGTATATCCTCAAGGCTTCTGTGAGGAAATATTAAAATAACATGTTGGATTTATTAATTGTTTTTGAATTGGTGGCAGTGTTTTGCTATAGTGTGCTTTCTACGGGGATACATTTCTAAACCTGGAATCTCTAGGGCAGCCAGTTCTTGAGCATGCACTGTTTTTCTTTGGGTACACAGATTCTATACAAGTCAGTGTTCTGTCAGAGTGTGTAGGTTTTATAGGGCAAGCATTTTCTACCACCACCATCTAGCCCCAAGTGCCCCAGTGCCCAGAAGCTGCTCAGTAAACAGTAACAAAATAAATAGGTAAATTGGTGAAGGTCTTTTGCTCTGACTGCCTCACCTAATGAGTGCAGTAAACACAGGGAAACTATAAATATCTTCAAACCGGTCAGGTTTAGGTGGGCCTCAGTTTACCAGTTTCACTGGTGTCCTTTCACAGATCTGTCCATGCTAAAAGGACATTCATTATGATAAACATTGGTGTATTTGGTAATACCTCGCACATAAAGCAATAACAAAAGCCCATGGTATTTTAGCCATAAATAAACCCAAAAACCTATACTGCCATCTCAGGGTGCAGAGCATGTGGAAATACAGGCTTTTAAAAATTATATTCAATTAATTCAAGGGGTTTTCCCCTAATTGATTATATTTCACTTGCATCCCTCATGTAGACTTCTCAGAATTAGTTTAAGACAGAGGAAAATGGCATAATCAATAGTGTTTGATAATCTGTTTTCTGAAGGATAGACTCATTTTGGAGTGTATGTTTGTCCTGCTGTCCAGTGTAAATTAGAAATTCTGATTCAGTAACTTCAGTGACATAGAATATTACTCAGAATTTAAGGTTGAAATTGATACTTTCCTCTAAATTTTATGGGAAAAGTTATTCTTACCCTTTTACCCCCTCCTCTCTCAACATAAATTACAAAGCCTAAAAGTAGCTGTTAGAAGTTAAAGTTGAATCAGAAAATATAGTTTGAGGCTTAATTTGCATTCTCTTCGTGACTTACATTATGAACACTGCCTTTTGGCTTTTTTTTTTTTTTTTTTTGGTTAAGTGAAAATAGCTTTTATTGCTGTTCGGAAAGCATCACTTGGGAACTGGTATTTGTCACCTATAAATTTAAGGGGTGGGGTTGTTCCTGCTGCCAAACGGGGAGAAGGAGGAGACAGCTAGGCATCCTGAAATGGCTGCTACAGGGCCTGGAGTTTTCCAGTGGTAATTTAGTGGGAGGGGAGGCTGGGGAGGCACTGGAATTCTGGGTAGTGAGATTGATTAGCGTTCGAGAGACTGTTACCTGGGTCTATAATAATATTTAAAGGTAAAGGAAAGGCTGAGAAGTTCTAAGTCCTTATTCTGTGGTTCTTGTTTTACAGAGGACTATACTCCCTGTGTGATAGATAACGCATATATGCTTCTGAAATTGTTTAAGTGACATGCTATTTAGACATTTGGACCATTATATTTAAAGATGTAAGTTGGGCAGCAGAATTATCTGACCTAGTTGTTTTCTAACCAGGACAGTTGGTATTAAGGTACTCAGGTTCTTCAGGAAAAAATATGAATTGTTTTGGTGGTGTAGCTGGTAAAGTGCTTGACATGCAGGCATGAGGCCTTGAGTTTGGATCCCTGGCACCCTTGTAAAAAAAGGTAGGCACAGGAGCCTTTGTCTGTAATGCCTGTCCTCATGAGACAGACAGGGGTGGAGCTCTTTCTCTGGCCAGCCTAGGCAAGTGGGTGGGCTCCAAGTTCAGTGAGAGACCCTGTCCCAAAAAATAAGATGAAGGGCTTTCAAGATGGCTCATAGGTAAGGGCTCTGCACCAAGCATAACAAACAGAGTTCAGTCCCTGGAACTCACGTGGTAGGAGAGGTCCAACCTCTGTAAGTTGTCCTCTGCCCTCCATGTGGGTACTGTAGCACGATTCCTCTTCTACCCCCAAATAAATGCATGTTAACAAAAAGGTAGAGAGAGATTGAGAAACCCAATGGCCTCTACACACATGCATACACATCTGCACATGTATTCATGTTTGCACACACACACACACACACACACACACACACACAGAGCTAATACTAGCAAACTGATTTTTTTTAAGTTTGGCCAGTACAGAAAGATTTCTGTCTACTGAAATAAAGTAGGGGCAGCTAGGGAAGTCTGGGAACCCCACAGAAGTCAGTCCTAAAATGCAAGAAAACTGGAGGTGGACCGGCTGAAGTCAGGTTAGCACTTGGCTCCTTGCCCATTTCCACCATGTTTGATGTTGCACTGAGTAATCAGGGCCTGTACAGGGCTACGGTGATGGCTAGTTTCTGTCCACTTGACACCAGCTAGAGCCACGTGGGAGGAGGGACCCTCAGTTGAAGATATTCGAAGATATGCCTCCATCTGATTGACTTGTGGGTATATCTGCAGGGCCGTTTGCTTGATTGCCCATAGTTGTGGGAGAGCCCCACCCACTATAGGTGTCACCACAGCTGGGCAGGTGGTCCAGGATTGTGTAAGAAAGGCTGAGCAAGTCCTAGGAAGCAAGTCAGAGCAGTCTCTCCCTCAGTTCCTCCCTCCAGGTTCCTATTGACTTTCCTCAGTGATAGAGAGTAACCTGGAAGTGTAAGATACATCAGATCCTATCTCCAAATTGCTTTCGGTCAGTGTTTTGTCATAGCAGCAGGGAAGCCAAAACAGCTCTGGAGACCAAGAACCCATCTACTTACCAATCTGCTTCTTGCTGTTGGCTTTCAGCTGCTCACACTGATTGGGTAACCTGAGCAGATTTTTGTGGTGGTTTAACTATTTCAACACTACCAAGTATGCATATCTCTGTGTACTTTTCACAGGCCAGGGAGCAGTTCAGTAGCCTGACCTGAATTCTTACTCTGTTTAAGATTCTTCTCTTTATCTGCTTCCGTTTCAAACACCCACAAGGATAGTAATTAGAAAAATCCTATGGACTCTTTAAAGCATGCCAGCCAATACACAGCCGTATTAGTTGAGTTTCATACGTATTTTGCTAATTGCTTTGCTTTGCAGGGAAGTAATGTGTAGTTGAAGTGTGGGAGTGACAGCTGTCCATCTGCCTATCTGACCCCTGTCTGTATGTTTTTCTAAGCAGCTTCTGGGGCTCTACTCTGCTCTAAGGGGCCCTGTCCTTGGCGATCACTCTACCACATGAGGTTTGCAAGGGTAGAGCATTGTGTGGAAAAACTACTTGGGAAGCTGGTCTTCTCCAAGTACCAATTTGCAGAGCTCTAATTAAGGTTCCTGAAATCAGCTATGGGACTGGGAAAGTGGTACAGTAGGGAAAGTGTTGCCACTTAGACTTGAGTTTTGCATCCCCAATACCTATGCTAGTCAGTCCAGTCAGGGCAGAGCTGGTCCCCAGCCCAGTGCTAGGGTGGAGTAGAGATGGGCAGATCCTTGAAGCTCATTGGAACTTTCCTGGTAGGAGGAGAGAATGGAGTCTTGTAAATTGTCCTTCAACTTCCACGTGGGTACTTTAGGATGGTTCCTCTTCTCCCCTGACAAAATATATGTTAAAAAAGAAAGGTAGATTGAGGAACACGCCTAGTGGTCTCCACACACTCTTGTACATATACATCTGCACATGTGCCTGTGTTCACATGGGTCAACATGAAGAGGGCTGAGGAAATACTTGACTCTAGCTCTTAAGTGTACCAGCAGGTAAATGACCACCAGCACACACCTGTGTTTGCAATGGCTCATGTGCTCATGTGCGCGCACACGTGCGTGCACACACACACACACACACACACACACACACACACACACACACACTAAAAGTATTGTTGCTGAGGATTCTAAAGAGAGATTAATAGAAATGCTTCACGGGGTGTCTTTGAAGCACGTCTGAGTGCATGTTTAGATTTTGGTTCATGGACATTACAGTGCGCTTTCCTCTTTTTTTTTTTTTTGCATTGTGCTTCTGGTTGCTTTGTTGTAAGCTTCCCTTTTGTACATTTCTGGAATAAATTGTTTAGCTCTCCCTCCCCCACCATGTCTGTTATTGCTTGAGGACCAGGATCTTACATCATTTTCTTAATTTTGAAAACCAAGCTAATCGACAGAAATGCTCAGCCCATGTTTTTTGTTGTTGTTGTTTGCTGTTTTGTTTTGTTTTTTTCTTTTAATTGTTAGTAGACAAGTAGGTTTGAAAGCAGTGTTTCATTGAGTCTTTTCCCCAGGGTGGGTGGGATAATGGATGCCTGTGGGTACAACAATTCCTCTTCATGCTGGGGTAGTTTGGTTGTTGCTGGAGCTGCATCTCAGTGTTCCCTATACTAACTGCATCTTTAGGAAGTTCATTTTTTCATTAATATAAGA